AGTGTATGACAGATAACCCTTTGAATATTTCACTACATATTTCATTTCCATTGAATGGTATAAAAGTTGACTTGAAGATTACTGAGAGACTGCAATCCCTTTTGCTCACAACGCTAACATAATCGTTAATAATATACAGTGAAACAGATAGCTAGAGCGAATTTTACACTTTCAACTAATATCAGGAAGACCAATAACACGAAGAATGTCAGTCTTCTTAATAGCTCTTCTGAACTTGTCGAAATTATCGCATGCTGGCTGGTAGCAGTTCGCTTCTTCGCAAAGATCCATGGGTGAAAAAATTGCAGAAATAGAAAGAGACTAACCTAAATCTTCAATGTTTAGTGTTGACAATAGGTTGATCTTTTTCAATTTCATTCGGAAAATGTTTGAGTTTGGAGAGCAAAGTATATCGGTGGGCAACATTTGGATCCATCGGGCACCACGATAGAAAAATGAGTTGTGAATTTTTGAGCAAAAAGGTCTTTTTATTGGGGCATAGTCTAATACAAAACTGGATAAACGCCCATGACTAGGTCTGAAAACCCAATATTTACTAGCTTTGAGTTTGATTTCCATACGCAGTATCTTAAAGCAAAATATGACATCATGCATAACTCCACGGTATAGAAGAGTTTCAAACTATCCACCACATTGTGAGATCAATGGATGTTTTTTTTCCGAATTCCAGGATCTTTATTTCGTTTTAAGCGCTATTGGCTAACGTGTTCCTCTGCTCTCAATATCCCATTCTCTCTATTTCAAATGGAATCTTTGAACAGTTCTCAGCAGGCATAGTGGGCCTATTATGTGACATTTTCCATTTTCAGAGGAGATGTTTTGCAGAAAGCTGTGAAGATAGCGAACAATTTCTTCACTGTCGTAGACTACGGTCACTTGTCTGTAGGAATTATATGGAAACTTGGTCGCAGGTGAGCGTTCCTTCCGTGGTGTGGCCCCAAACATCACTCCTCGTCATGCCCTTGTGAAATGATCAGATTTTTTGCTTTTCCAGATGACTTAGAAAACTGATGTATACCAGTCGATTTTTTATGAAAACGCTATCGAACGGTACACAATATAGTTCCAACTTGAAATTTTGTTTTTTCACCGTTTTCGGCCTTTTCCTATTGCCGATCGCCTTCCTCAGCCCTGGCGGCCACGTGCAATTCACGTGCGCGGTGCGTGACGCGTTTCCCACGCTCGGGCAACATCCATAGCGAAGTATTGATCGAGCGTCGCCATCACGTCGCCATCAAGTCCATCAGCCGTCACGGGAGCTACCACACGTGAATTACACATGGCCGCCAAGGGCTGAGAAGGGCGATCGGCAATAGGGGATGGCTGAAAACGGTGAAAAAACAAAATTTTGGTTGTAAACTATATTGTGTACCATTCGATAGCGTTTTTAAAAAATAGACTGGTGCACATCTCAGTTTTCTAAGTTCATCTGGAAAAGCAAAAAAAATCTGATCATTTCACAAGGGCATGACGAGGTGTGATGTTTGGGGCCACACCACGGAAGGAACGCTCACCTGCGACCAAGGTTTCCATATAATTCCTACAGACAAGTGACCGTAGTCTACGACAGTGAAGGAATTGTTCGCTATCTTCACAGCTTTCTGCAAAACATCTCCTCTGAAAATGGAAAATGTCACATAATAGGCCCACTATGCCTGCTGAGAACTGTTCAAAGATTCCACTTGATATACAGAGGATGGGATATTGAGAGCAGAGGGAACACGTAAAGCTAGTAAGCGCTTGAAAACGAAATGAAGATCTAAGAATTCGGAAAAAAAACATTCATTAATCTCACAATGTGGTGGACCGGTTGGGTACGTGGCGTATTCTGAGGGTGTTGAGATCCATGTTTCTGTGGGATGATCAGGCTGCATAGGAGGACTTATATGCGCACCCATAAATGCGCATCGCAAACAATTACTTCACGGGTGAAAGTCGAGTGCATGGCGACATCCTAGATGTGTAGGAACCAGAATTTCTAGGAACTGTTGATTTTGTTGTGAGCAGAGCTATCAGGTGGTCTAATTTTCAAATCGCGCTAACCATTTCTTAAGAGTTATGGCGAGCCGACGGTTTGCGACGGACCGATTGCGTCGCAAATCCTCGATAGAACAAAAATTAGTAGCAGCATTGTAGACTATACTTCCCACCTTCTACCCTGCAGATCTCGTTCCCTTGAAGAAGCACCTAATTTCGGGCGTGCAACACCGCTCGGATGGGCAAAACTCCCAAATCCGCGAAGAATCTAAAAGCACTCGTTGGAGGTTGACAAGAGAGCATTGGTGCTCAGGAAGCATACTCCAAATTTTCGCTGTGGTTGTTTTACTTTTATGTGACAATAAGTTTCAGGCTTCGAATATCCGAAAACTTTTGAATCAACCTAATAGCTTAACACAACACTGAACGCGCGGCGAAAGATGAGGTTGTGAGGAAGAACAACATCAACATCGAGCAAACCATCAGCGGACATTTTCCTACTCTTCAGCTTGTTTTCCGTAAATCCCCATACAAAAATCAAGTGAATTGAGGTGTGCGCTGTTGGGAGGCTATTGTTCTTTGCTGAGAAAGAGGGGAAAATTGCGCTGAAGGTACGCAATTGCCGAGTTCGCCAAACCAGGAGGAACCTCTCTTTCCGTTCAGTTACGCTTTACCCCTTGCTTTGAAACATTTTTTTAGACTCATCCTGTCATTATTGTTCGCTTTTTCGCAGACAGGAAACTGGAGTCCTTTCTTCCTGTAGGAATTTCCGATCTCGAGACAGTTCAAAAACAACACAGCTTCTCCTCTCTCTGTAGAGATCATCCAGATCGGACAAAGCAGCTTTCGATGATTTTCACTGCTGTGCGCACTTACTACTGTACAAGCTTGTTGTGTTCTGTGGTTAGGATAATGACAGTTTCAAGAAGAAACAGTAGAATTACGAAATGAACTGAATTGCGAAGTATTCTTTGTACACCTGTTTTCTCCCCTGCTAGTTATGTTTTTTTTTCTTTGAAGACTAGCATGGAAAGAGAGACGGTGGCCTGTACTTGAAGCGTAACTTTCTTTCTGCTTGAACAAATTAGTTCAAATTTTGGTACGTTTTGAGAACGAGCATTCTTCACTGAATCAGCATACCTATTCAGTAGGAGTTAGAGTGTGGAGAAGGAAAAAATCATCTGTTGGGATTTCCCATGTATGGCCATACTGCCAACTTTCTAAAAAAACACAATCCAACAGAACAATCGACCGCTTGAGAATAACTTTGAACAGATCTAATGATTTGTCGATAACCTTCCAGAGCCGCTGAAACCTTTACACAGTCTGAATATGAACTCAGTTGATGAATTCAACGTCTTCTGAGACTTCTTACTCCATTTTCCTTCGGGCTTGACTTACTTATTCTATATGTTATCCTTGTAATAACATGTGCTCATACTGCTCAGAGTAATCTTTTACACGCGGAACTGAGAGCTGAAATTAGTAAGATTCCAAGGTGAGGCGGCTTGATGCATGATGCATTAAAGGCACCTCTGAGAAGAAAATCATGGAACACGTCCGGGATACAGTGTGTCTGAGTCCTGTTTGAGCTTTTGCTCCTCATAACTTTGTTTACGGGCGCTTTTTTTTCTCTCGCTAAAGCGCTATGTATCATCTACTTGGAACCTCCTCTACCATCTCCACTATCCATCTTTCCCTTCTAAAAACACCATTTCTTATCGCGAGTTTTCTTTAGGTATTTTCGAAAAACATTCTTCAATGCAAGCTAACTTTTGATAGTGGAACACAACCTTGTCATCATTCTCATTGACATAAATGAAGAATGACTGTCGGGCGACTGCATTCCGTTCATCGTTTTCTTTTCCAACAAAAAGTAATCATATTCAGATGAGAGCAAAGCAGATATGAGAAGCTTCTCGACACGACTGTCGTCCTGCTGTCGCCCTTGCGTGTTTTTCTCGTCGACCGTGCATGTATCGGATTTTTGATGGGGACTCAGCTGAAATCTCTCCTCAAGCCGTCGCTAAGGTGAGATCCACCCCTTTAACCTCAGGTGTATTTGTGTGATTATACTAGAGCGCATAGAGCTAGTGGTCTTCTCTTTACTACCCTCAGGTTTACCGTAGTTCTTTTCGGGCTTCATTGTCCTTTGAGGTAGCATCCTCGGCTCGTCAGCTCCTGATAAATCAATGAAGCAGTTACAGTAGTGTGAAGAAGGCGCTGTCGATCCCGCTTCACTAATCCTCGGCTTAGGAAGCTCTTCTTTGCTTGGATTGGAATTAGCTGTTATAGAATGTTATCGATTCGAAAATACTTAGATGTCCATGTCCATATCTCAGGCAGCATATGAGCGTACTCCCCACTGAGATAAATTGCCTACGGATTACTTTAGGTCGCTTACTGATTTTCGCTAATATTATCGTCGTCCGTGAACTAGTAATAGTAGGGATAGTGTTAGCAATTTCCTATTCATTTCACCCTCTTCTGCTAGTTTCCGGGCTATCCGTCCATCGTGCAATGAAACTAATTACTTTAGAGATCAGCGTTATGAGATGACATTGAAATGATATCAGCTGAAGCTTTATATGATCTTTGGTGTTTGAAGTCATCTTTTAGAAACGCGACCCAACCTGAACGCTCAGCCCCTATTACCCATGCTAGGTATACCCAAAACTGGCGTTACTCCATTCCTGAAACGCGAAATGGACACGCAAGTGGCGGCTATCCGGCTGCCGAGTTAGACTCGTACCTCCTCACTAACTCGCTTCCGTGCCCTCCTATATTGATGCTGCTGCCTCTTTAAATAAAATCACCTCATATGGTTACATTTGCAAGGATCCAAGCTGACTGTACAAGCAATGTATGCGCCTCGAACTGGTGAAATCAATCGATATAAACCAGTCTAAAATTTCATTTAGCATGGCTTCTCCACCATCGTCTCCTGTGCACCTACAAATTCGGAAGTTGCCAGTAACGAATGAAGAAGGAACAAGCGGGCAGGTCTTGGTTAAAAAGCCTAGCAAGAAGGTGAGATTCATGAGCTATATTTATAAGGCATACTGGTAGCTCCATTATCGAATGCTAATCCTTTGATAGGTTGACATTTCAATCCGAATAGATGGAGGACGAAGTGATATTTCCCTTCATCCCTTTACATCTTCTTTGCGTCTATAGGTCATCTTCATTTTTTACATGCGTTTTCCTCTCTCTCTCCTGTCTGTCTGACTTTCCATCTTCTGACTATCTTATTTTTTTCTTTTTACTATCTGCAAGTTATTATATAGGTGTATGTGTGTATGCTCAAAAGTTTAAGCTGTCTGACTGCAGAGTAATTTCGCCCGTTCGTGAGTACCGTACTGCGGAGCAACTCATTATCACATTCAATTGCCACCACGACTGTGAATGAAAGTAGAATGCATGGCACGTCCTGAAAAGGGATTGATGAACGCCGAAGTCTCACACTCCTTATCTGACAACTTTGTCTATCTACCTTTCTTTCTATGTGTAATCACGGTTGTCTGCCTCTTCATATCTCCATCCTTCTAGCTCTCTATTTCTCTAGTATTTCTCTAACTACTTGTCCGTTTTACAATCCACCCGGTGTTTTGCCCACCTTTATTTAAATATCATCACATCCACTCCAAAGCCTCATTCCTGAACACGGACAAAATTGGAAATATTTTGAAAAACCGAAAAATTCCCGTCACAAATACAGAGCTACATTCTAGATCGCTGCGCTGGTCGGAGAAGACGAAATGAGTGGTCCTCCTCCAGTTCAGTCAAATCCGAAGAATCGCTTTCGAAATGGACACGCTTCCTTCCGGCTCAGAATGCTACAAGAACAACACGGGACAGGATTCGAACCAGTTGGTTGCCTTATACTTCATTTTCGATTACTTTTAGGAACTTGATGACCGAAAGCATTTCGCTTGTACTTATTTTGTTGCAAACCATTGTATCGACTTCGTCTCGTTTCGAATTGTTGTAGTCGTATTTCTGTCTTATTCAGATTTCGCGACTTACCTTGTGTGAGTCCATTTCCATTCTTGTTTCCACCTCAGCGAATTATTTCCGTTCAGCGACCAGGCGATGACCGTCATCGCCACGTAGAGAACCTTTCTAGCATGATGACATCTGTTTTGAATGTAGAACTTCATAACGTGCCCATTGCTACTTCACTGCAGTCGCCGGCTCAAAATATCACCAGTAAAAGCATCACATGGAGTTTTTGACATACTCGAATCCATTGCTTTCATTGCGCGTTGTTTTCAGCTCGCGAATTCTATATTTGTTTTTTTGTTTGTTTTCTTTCGTACGTGTTATGTGTACTTGCTCGTCGCGATTCTGTTTGCACTCACTTACTTATCAGAAGGCTCCAACATATTTTCGCTCCGCACAGTAATGAACCCCACTTATCGCCACAGATTCCGGCCTGGTTGTGGCTGAATTTGGCATCACCTAGATCCCTATAATTTTTTCTCAGAGGATGCTCAAACTCTGGACTTGTCCAATTTTCACTTGAATAGTATTGTGATCTAAATGTCGTTCAGATTTCCACTCCCACTTGAACGTCCCTCTTCTGATTTCCTGGAAAACCAGACCTTCATTTTCATAGACCCAATAGATTTTCAAAAAGGGCCCTAACAGAGCGCCAAGCCTGTATACGGGATGGATATAAAATATGCTCCTCCAAGATTTACACAAATTCGGTGAGTATAATTTTTTTCATTTTACAACTTCACTTTCATCTTGTAACAAAGGCAAGGATATAAGGCTATAGACTCCCCAGAGCTAAATCTAGTGGACGTTTCGTGAAGAGCTCACTACTACAGATGCATTTTTGTACTCAAGCTGCTATTTAGAGAGGGTGGCAGAAGACTGATTTCATTTTTATGACCCACATGGGAGCGTTCAAAATACCCTCAAGCAGTTATCAGAACAATTTTGGATTGTGGGCAAATGCTCTACACGGGAATCCGATTCGCTCCTCTCGTATTCCGGTCGGATGTGCTACCATTACAACACCGCGACACCGCATCACTTTAGCCCAGCTTTTCATAACATATTTACCATAGCTTATCAGCACACACTTGGAAATATAAATTGTAAGCCGGTTAGTCACATAGCGGTGCGCCGATGGTGTGATTGGTAACACAACTACCCTGTATGCGACTGTGCGTGTTCGGTTTCCGCTTAGGGCACTTTGCCTACTATAACGAAGCATTATTGTGATAACCTTCATGGCCCTAAAGAATTCAGAATCATTTCCAAGAACGGGTCAAACATGGTATCACTTAGATTGGTTGAAATCGTTGAAATACTAAGACTGAGAGGGCTGGAGGCAGAACTAAGAATCAGATCATCTGATTCCGCACGTGCCTTCCAGTCACTTCTAACCTTCAAATTATTAGATAGGGATACACTAGTTTTCAAGAGCTTCAAAACAGAAAATCTTGTTTTTAGAGCGCTCACGTAGTCTCACGGTCATTACATATAATACAAATGCACTTGTTAAGGCAAACTCCGGGATTGAACTGGTGCTATCAGCGCTTCGTAGTGATAGCTTAGCTGCGGAACGACCTGAAAGTGGAAAGGAAAGCAAGAGAAATCTTTGGGAACGCTGAAATTAAGGCCTTAACCTTCAAAAGGTCGGATGTGGTACGATGGCGAGACAGGGCGGTCAAAGAAGACAAAATACGCGAGAGAGCACGTCGTTTGAGAGAGCACGCTGATCTCACCACCTCTCGCGGTGGGTGGGAAGCGTTGCAACGGGGTCGATGGTTGCAGGCCCGTAAGGATTAGCGCCCTAACCGCGCAATTTTTGCGACGAAGCTGGAGTGATCTAGGTAGGTACGGACCTTACAATTTCCCCGCGGTATCCTTCCTACTAGTCGGGCTAATCCGGGGTTTGCCTTTAAATATACGTGACACCACTTTCTTCATTTTTCACTGGTTGGGAATTTTGAACGCTGGTCAGTCCAGTTTGCGACTACTGAAGGATTTGTGCATGTCCGATATGAAAAAAATTCTGATAACCTTGTATTGCATGAAAATATTCCTAAATAATCGCATAACTTGACGAATCTTCCGTTTCTCCGATCATCACAGGCTGTACCGTACTGATCGATAGACTCTGCAGTTGTTGTGAGGGCATTTTCAGAAGAGAATGTGACTGAAGAGGCAATGCGTGGCATTAACAGCCCAAAGGTTGTTGACAAGGGAAGACATGGGAACGTGACAGAATCCATATATCTCCCCACATTATGACCTTTAGGGGTACGTGTAGTATGCGGGATGAAAATAAGTCCCTATGAAAGGTAAACTTGTTTGGCTCCACACGCTAGCATATGTGCCACGTTATAACGTGACTTCATATGGCTACGCACTAACGTAGAGCCACCCTTCAGGGATATGGTCCAGGGTGGCTTTAATTTTGTCTCCGCACACCTCAGTGCACGCCACATATAATGATCACTTGACCGCTCCAATTCTTTGGCCTCCATTCTTCTTTTTTCGGCCTTTGAATGGTCTCGGACCATTGTTATGGTTTTTGGTTTTATCTTCTCTCATACAGGGCAAGCCCACATGAAATCAACATTTAACTTCTCCTTTTCGCTGGACTCTATTTTCTTTTTGCTTGACATTAGGACGTCCAGAAAAGAAAAGAGTAAAGGGCGCGGTGTTGAAGAAGCCAATTGAAGTCAAGAGGAGGTGGAAAGAATACTACTACAGTGCACTAAAGAGGAGTTACCACCCAAAGACAGCTCGCAAGCAGAGGCGACGGCTGGCCCATCTCACTGTGGACAGAGGATGAGGTTCGTCGGGTCGGGAAGATGAAGGTTGGAAAGGCGGTTGGCCCAGATGGGGTGCCAATCGAGGCATGGAAGGCGCTCGGAGAGTACGGCATAAGGTGGCTCACCAGCTTCCTGAACAAGGTAACAGTGGAAGGAAGGATGCCGGAACAAGTACCATCGTCCCCATCTTCAAACAGAAGGGTGACGCGATGGACTGCTCCAACTACCGCGGGATCAAGTTGACTGCGCATACCATGAAGCTGTACGAGCGACTGGTCGACTCGAAACTGCGGGAGCTGGTCCCGATCTCCCAGGAACAGTTCGGGTTCATGCCCGAAAGGTCTACAACGGATGCCATCTTCATCGCAGGCAAGTGATGGAGAAGTATCGAGAAAAGCGCCGACCCTGCTACCTAGCCTTCCTCGACCTGGAGAAGGCGTTCGACCGGCTACCGCGAGCAGTACTATGGAGAGCGCTTAGGGAACGGAACGTGCCAGAACACCTGATCTCGCTGGTGAAGGACATGTACGAAGGGGCCAAGGCAGCCATACGCACCCCACACGGCCTAACGAAGGAGGTGGACATCACGGTTGGGGTGCACCAAGGGTCAGCTCTGAGCCCGTTCCTCTTCCTCCTAACACTAGATGTCCTGGTGAAGGGGCTCATGGAAGGACCACTAAAGACCATCCTCTACGCTGACGACATCGCCCTGATAGCGGATAGCAGAGAGGAACTACAGGCCAAGGTGCAGAAATGGCAGAAGGTCCTGGCAGAAGGTGGGCTCCGGCTGAATGTCAAGAAGACCAAGTTCCTGAGCTCTGAAGAGGGTGCAGAGCCGATCGTGGACGGCCATGGTGAGACCATCGAAAGAGTGGAGGACTTCCGATACCTTGGGAGCGATCTGGCAGCCGACGGCAGTGTGGATCAGGCAGTGAAGGCTCGAGTCAACGCGCATGGATGAAATGGAGGGAGTCCACTGGAATCCTCTGCGACCGAAGGTGCTCCAGAACGCCGAAGGGAATGTGTACCGTAGAGCACGGTGAGCATCGGTCGAGGAAATCCTCGACAGGAGGGGTCGTACTCATTGGGGTCAGTAACGTCAGATAGGAGAGAGAGGGTGTAGCGCAGCAGAAAACAAGGATATGTGAGAAAACATGAGATAAAATATTCTTTGCAGGTCCAGTCGCTCCATTCCTTTACCTTTATGAAGGACGTATTTGAAAGCAGTACAAGGAATGAAAGTGCATCTCCGCAATGTGTACACGTGCTGTAGAGGCACCTCCTTTATCTAGGCCCGCTCTCCTTAATACCTCGTTGAAAATGAGGCAGTTGTTAGGGAGCTGTCGCAAACGGCAAGAGTTCTGGAAAGACCATGGGCGAATGAAGCTGTTCCTTAGGTTACAGGAGTTACGAAATGTGTTTACTACAATACAGTTTCTGTCAACAGGTCATCATCATATGTATAACACCTTTCAATAGATTCTACAACTTGAGTGGAGGTCGGATGCATGGCCTATACTGAGACGAGATCGGACGATGACGATTGCCCCTTTTCTTATCGCTTGTTGGGAGAATTTATTCTAGACACATTTCGAGCGTTGCCAACGAATTAACTTGCAATGGTGAAGAAGGGAGCGGCTTTTTGAGCGGCCGAGAATCATCCTCGATAGATCCTCGACGCAAATATCTCCTCAACTAGAGAATGTAGAAGGAAGCTAAACATACTGTTAGAAAGCGCAAACCTTCCGCTTTCCAAAACTGTCTTCGCTTTTTGCGAAATTAGAGAGAGATATTGCCTTTTAAGTGGCAAAAACTCGCGCATCCTCGACGCTCCCTCGACAAAATTTGAGAGACCCTATCTCTTCGAGTGTAAAGCTTTTAGATCAATTTCAATATTGCCCGGTAGTAGCAAATCCAGCTCTATCTAACCCTACCACATACTGCTCCAAAGGTTATGAAACCTTTTCATCGAGAGTGTAGATTTCGACGGTTTCGAGCGGGGTTTCGGCAAATCTGACCCACGGATAAACCGCGCTGCAACTGAATGCTTTGCTGTACATTGATGGAACTCG